AATCAGGAGATTCCTCGAAGCCTTACTTTTTTTCGTTAATCAGATAGGTTACATGAGGAAGTTAGGATAAGCATAGAGCCAGAAGCGATTCCTCATTTTAACCCGGTGTATTCCCCAAAGAAACTTTGTGTTCTGCTTAGAATTTTTAAATATTTACGTCGCAATAATCTGATTATTTAAAAGCAAATACAGGCGAGTCAGTGATCCTATTTTATGGGTTGAGTTATTTAGAAAAGCTATCAGTTTATTTTAAATGCATTGATACATATAAGCCTTTAATGGAAGGTCCAATCGAGATACTTGAAACTCGGCTCAAGGATGCCCTAACAATGGATACTATGGGGAAATGGAGAAGTGTAAGATTAATTAACATCTTCAGAGAAATGCTATGGCACCCACGGTTTACGGTCGTCCTAAAGTAAATAAGGGGGGGATTCCATTTAAAGTAATCGTAAATAATAGAGAAAGTTTGATAGATACAATCCTACTTTTTTATTTGTTGTGTTAAGAGATGGGACTACCAATTGTTAGCTCTATTCGGTTAATAATTTAATTAATTTGTAAACTTAGTTGACCATCAAATAACTTCGAAGGATGATGTAATGGTAAGTTTTGATGTAGTACGCATCTATTCCAACATTACAGTCCAGGGAGCTATTCATTCTTTACTGCTTCTCTTGGAGGGGCATTCACAGATTATAAAGGGAATAAGCTTATGAATAGCCCCCATTTTAAGACTTTTCGACCTACACATAGGAACTTATTTCACTTTTGATAGTAGATTTTGCGAATAGATGCGAAATCTTTCGATGGGATTTCGCCTGGCGTTAAGTTTGGCTAATAATTACATGGCGAAATTTAAGGAAAAAAATTATATTAATTCTAAACTTGTTAGTCAGATATATGAATGACTAGTTTTCGTCATTACCATCCTTTATTTTCACAATGCATACTCTGAATTTTATCACCATATTGTTGCATAACTCCGCCTATCTCAGCTTTTATAAAAACTCCGAAGAGCTGTTTGGCTATATTTTTTTCCTTCTAAGTCTTGCTCAAAGCCCAAAGTAAGATGTTCTTTATGGGAATAAAATCCGTCGCATTCTTTGCTTTCGGTAGGGGTATAAGGTTTCCTAATTAGATGCTTTAGTAACCAGGTAAACCTGGGGCAAGTAACTTCTTAAATCGCAATGACAATTATTTACTTTTTAGGCTAACCAGTTATTGCTGAGTCCTTTTTACTTGGCCACTCTATCGAACTCGCGGCAAAATCTGCGTTTATTCGTTGAGCAACCACTCAGTATAAAAAATAATGCACGATAGGTTTTATATCATTAACTTATATTCATGTTACATTTTCTCAACTTACTGCTCCAGATTGATGTACGCTGTATATCCAAAGGCATAAGTTACCTGAATGATAAGCTTGATACTATCGCGAGTCTTACTGAGCCCCGTGAGAATGCATTCTTGCGCTATCAAGACCGTCCATTGGCTCTAGGCAACCAGAACTCACCCTCTCGGCTGACCTTGTTTTCTAGACTTGTGTCAGTAGCTCAACAAAGGCAGCTAATGCACCAACAACAACTTGCCTCTTTTCACTTCGGCAGCCAAGGCTATCCAGGAAATATGGATCGTCACCAGGAGGCACTGTTGCTTCAGCAGCATCAGCACCATTCTCCTACCCAAAGACGCATTTCTCTTCAGATACGCCCTCAACTCCAAAACCACTGCAACTACTACCAACATTCAAGATGGTTACAAGAACAACAACAGGTGAGTAATATTGGGTCTCAGTAAGTATTTCATTCAGACAATTTTATTCATCTTGTGTAGGTTTCGATATTATAAGCAGATTTTGAATAAAAGCTGTAGTCACCCCTAGGATGCATAAGTTGATTAAGGGCTCATAGTTTACGCACAATGCCTTATGACTGTTTGAAAGCCACTCCCTGCCATTGCAGTGCATCATCTGAATCCACATAAACGTCACTCTAGCTGAGCAAGCTATATCACGTTACAGAAACATATAGTTCTCTGAGTTACCGTCAAAATAATAACAGATTAAGCCCTCCGCATGCATACATCTCCACTCAGCAAGTAAAAGGAGGACAAGTAATTCGTCTTTTCAGGTCCCTCATGCAAGATTTATGCCAGCAGTAAATTTAGAAGTAGTCTGACCTCATTTTCACAACTTAAGATTGATCCTTTGCTTAGATTTCCCTCCCCAATAACTTCTGGGTGTTCATCTAGGCTGAGTGTAAGCGCTTCAATAGCTTTCTGGACTGGTATGTTAGTATACATTGATACAATATCAAAACTAACCAAAAGATCATCCTCTTTAATATTCATTACATTACATTAATAGATCAACAGAATATTAAAGAGGATGATCTTTTGGTTAGTTTTGATGTTGTATCAATTTATACTGACATCCCAGTCCAGAAAGCTATTGAAGCGCTTACACTCAGCTTGGATGAACACCCAGAAGTTATTGGGGAGGGAAATCTGAACAATGGATCAATCTTAAGGCTTCTTAATCTATCCATAAGCAGCACATACTTCACCTTTAATAATTAAGTTTATGAACAGGTGCAAGGCCTAGCAATGGGATCTTGCTTGGCTCCTATTTCGGCTAATAATTACATGTCAAGAATGGAGGAACACTTCATATTTTGTCTTTACCCTCATGCGTTCTCTCTAAAAGGATAGGTGAGCAAGTAAGAAATTGGGGAATAAAAACTGTGTTCAGAGAAACTATGACACTTTCTTCAGTCATGCCCACTTTTAGAGAGA